AGAGAGAGAGACAGACAGACAGACAGACAGACAGACAGACAGACAGAAAATGCTATAATGTAATCGTTAAAATACAACTAACATTTAAAAGGGGTAGAAAACTTTGAAGAAGGTTGACGGTCACATATTGTAATTTTCCGGTACACCACTGGCATGTTATTGCATAGGGATAGGAATAATCCCACACATGTATGGGAAACGCGATGGGAAACTTTGCGTCCCATATGAGTTGCGGATGGGATTTTCCCGCCAACCGTTCACAGTTGTATGGCCAAATAATCCGGACGATTTTTTTTTTTACAGTTGACGTTTGTTTGACATTTTACAAGTTTTAGGGAAGAAATGCTGCGTAGTAGTTGAGCCGGTCCGGGGCGACCTCTTGTCCATCGGTCGCGCGCCCTGCGTCCTCGCGTCTCGCGCGATAGCAGTCGTCGTCGTCGTGGTCACGGTTTGTTGTCATCGCGAAGGGTCGGGGGAGGAGGGCGCCGAAAGGGAAAAACACTGCGCGGCGTGTGCGCGTCGGATCGGGCTCGGGCTCACGGTGACGGACTCCTCCGCCTGCTCCCCGCTCGCGCGCCTTGACACCGTGGCGACGACGACGTTCCTCCTCGGCGCGCGAGGGGTCACAGTGCGGGGCTGCTGCGTAGTGCGATACGAGAGAGCGAGAGAGACAGACAGACAGAGAGCGAGCACGTACCTGCCCACACTCATGGCCAGCGCCCCACTAGTACTGTAATGAGACAAAACTTTCACGTTATTTAAAAAAACCTTACAGTGGAATAAATATTTTATTTTTTACAACATGGTTTATACATAATTTTTGTGGCCTCGAAGTGTCGCCTTGTCCTCGGCCACGTGACAATGGACACCGAAAACGACTGGCGTTGCCGGTATTCCTCTTCTTTAAAACTTACACGCTCTCACACACAGTATATATCTATATATATTGACATTAGCTGGCATCACAGAGAGTGTAGGATGCGGGAGATAGGGCGGCCGGGCCGGGCCGCGCGCCGCGTTGGCATTGACCTCTCGGCTCAAATTGGGTCCAAATCGGCGAGGAATGTCTCCCTTTCCTCGGCTCTGCTGCTGCTGGCTGATGTAAGGTTCGCCCCTCATCGGTCATGCCGTTCAGTTCACCGGCCGACAGCTGACCAGCCTGACCTGGCTACTCGCGTGGCAAGTCTCTTTCCCTCTCCCTCCCTCTCACTTTCTCGATGCCAGTTTCTCTCAGGCAGAGCAGCACTGGACATGGACACGCATGAGTCCGACTGTCTGTGCGTCGCACATTGGTTCTGTTTCATCAGAAACCAGTTCCCTATTTCAAGGGAAGTCAGTTCTGACAGATGCGGACAGGATAGCCCTGTGCGCCCGACTGCCTGCAACAACAACTTCCTGTCTTCTTCTTCGTCTTCTTCTTCTTCTTCTTCTTCTTCTTCTTCTTCTTCTTCTTCTTCTTCTTCTTCTTCTTGTCTCACTATTAACTTTGATTGTATAGAATTACTAGACCAAATATCTCACCCAGTCCAGCTCTTGCACTACTTGGAGAACTGACGGCGATGACCAATCATCACCGATGGCAGTCTAGTGGTTCTGATAACACGTATCGAGACATGGACGTCTGATAACGACATCACTGCGCTTTAGGGGCCCACTGCAGCCGGCGTGGGGTGGGTGGGTGCGTAGATGCATCAGATGATGCATCAGAGCATGAATCCACCCAGAAAAGCCAATTCTTGCCCAAATTACTTGAATTGAGAGCAATGATCTTGCTGACAGCAAGTACAATTTGTACTTGAGGCGTGGGCTTGGGTTTAGACCCAAACTAAACCCCGATTTGTTCTTAAATCGCCCTCTTTGCGCTTGACTGAAACGAAATGATCTTCGTTCAAGGCAAAATCGAGATTGGATAAATCGTCAAATTAGTGTTGAAATTTTCAAGAACAGGCTGCTCTTAGTGTCCGAGGATGCATCAGAGGATGAATCCGACGATGAATCCGAAGATGAAACGGTGGATGCATGGATGGAATGGCATTAGCGCAATGCAACGGTACAGATGCAAAAGGTTGGGGGTTGGGGGATGTTTAATCATTGCAAACCTACATAGAAAGAATCGAATACTACAATGTACTCATTATGGAGTGGGGATGGGTGGGTATCCGCATTAAATGCACATCCCCGTTCAACATTGGTCTGTAACCAACCTTGAAACATTCTGTTGTACCATTTAAAAATTGACGGAGGTATAGCACCTTCTTTCCCATTGTTTTAATTAGTACATAGTAATTACCACACTGGAAGAAAACCACAAAGTTCTATGTAAGTGACACATTGTGTGTAAATGTTGTAAGTTATAAGAGCACGTGAAAGTCCTCCATCACCGCCTCGTCACGCACTTGTAAGACTCGACGCGAAACGTTGCCAGGGAAGTCCCCTCCCGCTCGTTGGGGGTCGGGTCACCGCGCGGCCACGCCGCCGGCGTTCAGGACGAAGCGTGACGGGCCACGACGCGGCGGTCCCGGCAGTGCCAAAGCATTTCATCAGAAACTTGTTTGAGCCGATAGAGATAGATATATAGGTGCGCGAGGGCAGCGTGGGACGAGGAGGAGGCCAGCGAGGGGGGAAGGGCGATAGACGAGGAGTAAAAGGAAGCCGCCCAATCGGCCGGGCACAAGCGGCGGCCGGCCCGGTCGGGCACAGGCGCCACCCGGCGGGGCGCGAGCTGCGCGAGCAGGGGGGAAATGGATGTTATGGGGCAGCGGAGAGACTTCTCTGCGAGGGGCGCCCGCGATGGGGGAACGGATTGTGGCGGGGCGGGG